TTGAATCATCTAAAACAAGATGCAGGCGATGGTTTAAACAGTGCCATATTATTATGTTTGGAAATTCTTTTGCTATTCTAGTGCTCACTCCAGATTTTCTCCCAAGCATAATGCTGGCACCATCGGAGCAATATCCTATTAAAATTTCAATAATTTTAGTAAATATTTCTTTTTTACTTTCTTTTGCAATGAAATCAACTACTTTCACAGCAGTTTTATGTGAATGTAATCCTATTCTCATATCTAATCCATTTTTAATTTGCACTTCTGTCTTATCTTCTATGTCTGAAAATGGTTTACATCTTTTTGCTAGGCTGTAAACTGTATTAAATACTCTACATAAATATTTTGCATTCATTGTATCTATTACCTTTGTTACTGAATCCTGCTCACATTGTTTTAAGTTCTCTTTACAAATGTTACGAGCTTTTGATGAAAAATGTTTTCATTTTTTCTTTAGAGAAGCTTGTTATACCTCTTTATTTTTCCCTGATGCCTCAATCTGAAAACATTTCCATTCTTTTGACACATGAACACTTTTCTCTTTTGTGAAGTCATATTTTGCACAATACTTGCAACCTAACTTTTTGTTAGAAATTACCAGTCCGTCATATTTTTCTTTAAAATTGTTATATTGTTACACTGTCCAGCATTCAGGAAGACTATTTTCAATTTTGGAGTTGTTATCATTTTTTTTAATTGATGTGCTGCTTTCTTCAAGTTGGAGTGGTTGTGCTTGTGACTGTTTTGTACCACCGAAGGCCAATTCCGATACAACTGATTCCCGATTTTGGTTTCTTATTGAAAAAATATGTCAAAATCTGTTGCTTTTTTATCCTTTTAAGGCAGACATGTCAAACAGAAGGCCTGGGGGCTGGATGCAGCCCGCGAAGTGGTTTCATATGGCCCGCGAAGCCATCCTGGAAACAGTGAGGGAACGGCCCCCACGGCCTTGGCCCTGGCCCAGGCCAGCCGGGAGCCAATGTACAATTTTGTGGTGGCCATCTATGCTGAAACGCATTCAGTCTTAGCTCCACAAGACCGTCTGGAAACAGCGAGGAACCAGCCCCTGCTGCGTCGGCCCCGTTTCCTGAGTGCATGCTGGGGAGATGTCACCCTTTGTGAGAAATGAAGAAATGGACCATGCCTTGGCGCTTGCCCCGGTCCCACCCCCTTCTGCCAGAGACCCTCAGATCTGTCCCACTCCTGCCCAGGTCCCCACAGGTACCCTTGACGTGAATGATGTAGAGCTGGCCATGCCCACCCAGTAGGCCACACCCACTCCATCCACGCCCACCCAGTAGGCCACACTCACCCTGGTCACATCCACCCTGGCCACACCCACCCGGCCCCCCGAGGGCAACCGCAATGCTGATGCGGCCCTCAATGAAATTGAGTTTGACACCCCTGTTTTAAGGGCTACTGCAAAATAATAACAATAATAATAATAATAAATGTTTTATTTTAATGTATTATAATATTTATTTACAGACATTTATCGAAGATGACAATATATTGTACAAAATCTTATTGAAAAGTGTATGCATCAATAACCAAGCAACGACATGTAATAAAGAATGCAAAGTTTTATAACATATTACTACAATCACCAGAGGAAATTATAGAATAAAGAGTAGGCAATAATTAGAATCGAAAGAAAAAGGAAAAATTGTAAAAGATAAGCCAATAGCCGGGACAAGACCAAAATATCACAAAAATAAGCAGATTGCTCATGTAGAAAAAAATATCGTGATTCAAACAATATGTATAAACTACATCAGTATCAATATTTAGAAATAAGATATTTCAAGTATGAAAGACAAATATATAAGGGAACAAAAGAATATTTAATCACAGAGCATGGGGAAAAAAACCAAAAATATAAAGTATCAACTATGAAAGATGGTCATAAGTTACTTTTTTCAATGCCGGTCACTAAATGAATGGTTGTGAGTTGCGGACTACCTGTATAGAAGTTATCTTTGATTAAATCAGTGTTTAGTGTATGCAATTACATATTTCTGGGCTAAAAACCAATGTTTCTGGAATAACAGCTCATGAAATCTCTGCTACTTATAACAGTGTATTCCCTAAAATGACAAAATTGCTTAACTAAATAAGCATTTGCTATATGAAATAACAGGTTGCTGCCACTGAACCGCTATTTGCTGTCTGAAATAGCACCTGTCACTTAAACAGTGCTTATTATATTAAAACACTAAACCAAGGTTTGATATATGAAATTGAATTTCTGCTATTTAAATTTAAATCATAGGTCTTGGTATAAAATAGGAAAGCCCATTCTGCTACATTAGAGTTTAATGCATGGAATCACAGAACCCTTTAAGAGCTTTGCCGCTCATCATTAGTTGCGCTCTGTATAGCTAGACAAGAAGAAGTTCCAGAGCCACAACCCCAGCTAATACTTGGCAGCCTCGCCCCCTTTCCCGTATGCACCAAGAGATGAAGCGTCTATTCCTGAAATTACCTCTGAGAAGCACCACCTAGTTTTTGCCTGAGTGACGTAATCGAAGGCGCCATGTCTCCGTTTGGTTTCCGTCGCTCCTCTCTTGGACTTTTGGGGAGGTTTTTTCCCCCCGCCTGGAAAGAAGTTGAAGAAAACCAGACGTGTTCCGGAAAACAGAGATTTATCATATCGGTTCGCCAAACTCAGCAAAAAACTAGGTATCAGTTCTGCCAAACCGGTGCGAACCAGCTGAATCTCACCACTGGCCACGGCCCACTACCAGGCCATGGTCTATTTGCAATCAGGCTGTGGCAAGCAGCGGGCCGGTGCACACATACACACATGCGTAGCTCGGCTCACATGAGTAGCGGGCTGGTATAGACATGTGCGTGCGAACCAGCTCGCCACTCATGCGGCCCAGTTCCCCTCTCCCTCCCCCGGCAGGTCACCAAGCCACAAAGGATGGGGACCACTGTTCTATTGTACACTGGACAGCAATATATAGTAGGTCCTGCAAGACTGCATTTTATAATTTTTCAATTTAAAAGTTGATATGTGATTTCATAGATTTTTCTTTTTAAATAAAATTTGGTTTTTCTTTATCTCTTGTGAGATTATTCAATCTCCCAAAAGGTAGACAGACCGATATCTTCAATACTATCTTTAGGACGTAGTGCTAGAACAATTATTTCATTCTTATCATTTATTTACAGAAAGGCAGCAGAGTATGGTTGTCTTATTTCTCTCACAGACCAAAGTTCTAACCTTGGGCAGAAGGTAGGGCTAGATTTCAGAAAGAGAGGTTTAAGACCTTCCAGTGTTATCACTACATATACGATCGCCTCCTCTGACCTCATAGCCACCAGATGTGCTCAGAGTACAACTCTTCAAATTCTCATTCATTGGGATTTGTAATCTTAACACATCTGTGGACAGACAGATTAAGGAAAGCTGGTATAAGCTGATTACTTTGCTACTGCCAGATAGAGAATTATTCAATAGTAGTTATTCCTTTTTGCGAAAGATGACTATGGAAATGGTTTCCAAACAAAGATTTTCTTTGTTTATGACAAGGTCCTGCATTACTTTAGCCTGTATGTCTTTAACTGACAACACTCAAAACCCAATTAGGTGTGTTAAAAACAGATCTAAGGTATCCCTACTTTAAATAAAAAAAATAAATTACATCCTTTTTTCTGTTTTCTATCAAAATGGCATGCAATATTTCTAAAAATGCAACAAGACAAAGTTAAAAACAATAATTGCTCTATAATTAAGCAGCCATTCAAAAAACATCAGAGACAACAATACTAAAAGATACAGGAAGTTAAATATTTTACAACCTCAATGCTACCGTACCAAGAACATTCTGCTTCTTACTCCCGGTTGTTATCAAACTTGGATGAGGCAGAATACAGAATACAGGAATTTATTGGGTAATATACATAAAATTGCATCCTAAAAGACTGTCCATCTCGAAACAAAGCAAAGTAACATGTTATGTATGAAAGGAAAAAAAACTTATACTGTGCAATCAACCCAAGAAAACCTTTAGACCAGTGTTCTGCAACCTGGACAATTTTAAGCTGCCTGGACTTCAATTCCCAGAATTCCCGAGCTGCGGAATTCTGGGAGTTGAAGTCCAACTCAGCTTAAAATTGCCAGGTTGGGAAACACTGCTCTAGAGACTTAGGCACGCAGCCAAATCTTTAAATAATAGAGTAAGCTACTTGTAAAGCAACAGGGAGTTGCAAACCAAGCATACACACCCATAAAAGGGACTCACACGACAATTCCCCACCCTTCTCCACCCAGGCAGCTTTTCCAGGTCACATGATCAAGAATCATATGATGACAGAATCTTCACATACTATCTATCTCTTCTTCCCCTTTTGCCGGCCCTTCGCCTGAGCCCTCCCACCTCCGCGCGCTATTGGCCACCAGGCCGCAGGCGGGCGCACCATTGGCCAGCCTTAGGGCTTTCCTCATGCGCTACTGGTAGATTTATGGGCTTCTGGCCCCGCCCTCTTCTCTTCTTGGAAAGTGACTTGAAGTTGGGATCGCAGCGACCGCCGCTGGAGGGAGGCGAATCAGAAGTTCAGGCCAGGGACGGGGGGGGCGGGGGAAGAGCCAGAAGGGCGATCGGAGGGGAGGAGGGAGAGACCCCTGGATCCTCAGAGGCACTTTTGCCTAGTGGTGAGAGCTCCAGAAGCTGAAAGCCAGGAGGCAAGGGAATGGATCTATGGGGCAGAATATGGAGTGCCTCTAGCAAGGGGATTGTATCTTGGATCTCGAGGGAAATTGGGAGCTGAGTCCTAGGCTACGTTCGCCTGCCTTCTCGGGGGAGAAAAGGGGAGCAATCGTATTAGTAGCCTGGTTTGGGCGGGGAGGTGAAGGGGCCATAGTGTTTCTCCTAATTCCTTAATTTAGGGAAATCCGGGAAACCAGAAAGCAGGAGAGTTAAGGCGCACAGACAGGCACCCGTGTGTCCCCAGTGCCAGGCTGGAGAGTGCAGTGGTTAGAGCACTTCGCCATGGATGACCCCGAGGAGACCTTTGGGGGAGATGGGGATGCCAGCCCGGCGCCCTACGAGGAGCTGGTGTCCGTGATGGCCGGGGGCTTGTACGGGGAACTGGAGCGGCTGGTGGGCGCCCACGGCCCTACCGCGGTCTCTGGGCTGCTGCCGCAGGTAGTTTCCGTCCTGGAGGCCCTGCAGGAGGCTTGCGGGCAAGTGCGGGACCGGGACCAGGCTCTGGAGCGGCTGCGGGACGACCGGCTGAGACTCCTGGAGCAATACGAGCGCGAACGGGCAGGGCGCAAGCGGGCGGACGAGGTGGGTATGGCCTTCTGCTCCATCGGCGGCGTCGACTAACTTTTACGCTCTTCAGACCTTGGTTTAAGTCTCAGCTGACGACGGAGAGGGTCGGTCCAGCAATTCCCGATCAGAGAGCTTAGATGCCAGCTGGTGCCAGCCGGAGCTGTCGGGCAGGCTGATTGCCGCCGCCTCCTCCTCCTCCTTAACAGTCGGGAGGGGCGTTCTCCTCGCCCGACAAGCCACAACGCGAAAAACTTTCTTGTCTCCTGCCATGGAGACAGACACACGTGACTATTCGTGCCTAATGCTGCCACAGGTTAACTGGGAAAGCTGAAGCAGAGGTGTGTCAACACCCAGAATCTTTTGACTAAAAGCCCCCCCCCCCCCAAGGTTTCTGAGCTAAGTAATCAGTCCTGGGATGAGAACATAGACATAAACAGACCCTTCACCAAAGAAGGCAAGCTGGAGATTGTCCCAAGGTTTTATACTGGCATTTTTCACCAGAAGAGTGAAATGCCACGTTTGCTGATATTTCCGAATAATGTCTGATAGTTCAGGTCAAAGAGCAGTTTGCTCTACAGATACCACTGAGTCAAACTCAAATCCTGGATAATGTCTCATCCCCAATAAAACCTCTTTCAAGGATATTTCAGTATCACTTTGATCCTGTCCCTACATCTTGCCCATAATTATTTTTCATTCTCCTAACTTGTCAATCCTCCACATTTTTATAGAAGCATTTTAATGTTTCTAGTTCCACAACATTGTCATTTCAACCCTTATTTGACCCAGAACCAATTGACTCCTTGCAATCCATAGGAACTGTCTCCAGATTCCTGATTTAAAACGTCTATATTCTGTCTTTCGGGTTTTGTTTTGTTTTTTGAGTTTTCATTAAGATACTTCAAGGGGTTCAGTATGAGCAAATGACCTGTGATATGTATCAGAGTGAAAATCCTTAATGTCACATATGCATAGATGGGATCTTAGATAAGCGTGGATGGTTCCTGGTTAGGATAAAATGTAACAGTTGTTTGAAGATGTCAGTTGTGACTGCTGTGAAAAAGCTATCACTGTTGTGGAGACAGCCAATATCATATAACATCTTTTGTATAAAGGCATATTGTGACTGTACCTCAAATATCAAATACAATTCTGGTCATCTTCTCAAAATCCACTCCGGATTGTAGTTGTGGAGAAAAAGAGGAACAAGGACTATTGAGGTCCGAGGTCGGTAAAATGAGGGCCCAGATTATTGGGGTCAATAGGCTGACTCTGTAAATTGCTTAGAGAGAGGGCTGTAAAGCACTGTGAAGCTGTAGATAAGTTGAAGTGCTATTGATATTATGTATGTTCACCATCCTGAGTTACTTCTAAAGCAAGGATGAGAAACCATACTGGCTCAAGAATTCTGGGAGTTGAATTCCACAAGTCATAATAGGACTATCGTTTCCCACTTCTGTTCTAAAGGAATAAAGGTGGGATAAAAATCTGATAATTCAATTTAAAAGGCCACTATCAAGTTGGACAAGTTCTTTTAATCAAAAAGATTAAAATGAGGGGTTTTTTTTAGTTTAGGCAAAAAAGGGCAAATTTGGAGAAAATGATCAGAAGTGTATAAAATAATGTTCAGTGTAGAAAAGTAGGTAAGGATTTTCTCAATTCATATATTAGTAAAACCAATGGTAAAAGGATAAGAAAAAATGTGTAGATACAGTGAGGGGAAAAAGTGTTTGATCCCCTGCTGATTTTGTATGTTTGCCCACTGACAAAGAAATGATCAGTCTATAATTGTAATGGTAGGTTTATTTTAACAGTGAGAGACAGAATAATAACCAAAAAAATCCAGAAAAACCCATTTCAAAAAAGTTATAAATTGATTTACATTTTAATGAGTGAAATAAGTATTTGATACTCTATCAGTCAGCAAGATGTCTGGCTCCCAGGTGTCTTTTCTACAGGTAACGAGCTGAGATTAGGAGCATTCTCTTAAAGGGAGTGCTCTTAATCTCAGTTTGTTACCTGTATAAAAGACACCTGTCCACAGAAGCAAGCAAGCAAGTAGATTCCAAACTCTCCACCATGGCCAAGACCAAAGAGCTGTGCAAGGATATCAGGGACAAGATTGTAGACCTACACAAGGCTAGAATGGGCTACAAGACTATCGCCAAGCAGCTTGGTGCGAAGGGGACAACAGTTGGTGTGATTATTCACAAATGGAAGAAACACAAAATAACTGTCAATCTCCCTTGGTCTGGGGCTCCATGCAAGATCTCATCTCATGGAGTTTCAATGATCATGAGAATGGTGAGGAATCAACCCAGAACTACACGGGAGGATCTTGTCAACAATCTCAAGGCAGCTGGGACCATAGTCACCAAGAAAACAATTGGTAACACACTACCTTGTGAAGGACTGAAAGCCTGCAGCGCCCACAAGGTCCCCCTGCTCAAGAAATCACATGTACAGGCTTGTCTGAAGTTTGCCAATGAACATCTGAATGATCCAGAGGAGAACTGGGTGAAAGTGTTGTGGTCAGGTGAGACCAAAATCGAGCTCTTTGGCATCAACTCAACTCGCCGCGTTAAGAGGAGGAGGAATGCTGCCTGTGACCCCAAGAACACCATCCCCACATAACATGGAGGTGGAAACATTTTGCTTTGGGGGTGTTTTTCTGCTAAGGGGACAGGACAACTTCACCAAATCAAAGGGACGACGGACGGGGCCATGTACCATCAAATCTTGGGTAAGAACCTCCTTCCCTCAGCCAGGGCATTGAAAATGGGTCATGGATGGGTATTCCAGCATGGCAATGACCCAAAACACATGGCCAAGACAACAAAAGTGTGGCTCAAGAAGAAGCACATTAAGGTCCTGGAGTGGCCTAGCCAGTCTCCAGACCTTAATCCCATAGAAAATCTGTGGAGGGAGCTGAAGGTTCGAGCTGCCAAACGTCAGCCTGAAAATCTTAATGACTTTTAAGAGGATCTGCAAAGAGGAGTGGGACAAAATCCCTCCTGAGATGTGTGCAAACCTGGTGGCCAACTACAAGAAACGTCTGACCTCTGTGATTGCCAACAAGGGTTTTGCCACCAAGTACTAAGTCATGTTTTGCGAAAGGGTCAAATACTTACTTCACTCATTAAAATGCAAATCATAAATTGATTCAAAAGTTATATTTTTGAAATGCTTTTTTCTAGATTTTTTGTTGTTGTTATCCTGTTTCTCACTGTTAAATTAAACCTACCATTACAATTATAGACTGATCATTTCTTTGTCAGTGGGCAAACATACAAAATCAGCAGGGGATCAAATACTTTTTCCTCTCACTGTAGTCCTCAACATATGACCATAATGGAGCCTGCCCATTACAGTCATAAAATATACATTTTTCTTTTATACAAAGAAAATGTTTGTAAAAAAGAAAATACTAGATCAGTAACAAGGGGAGAGGTTGATTCTTGGATTCTCTTTACTAGCGGTTCATGGAACTGGAGGATGTGATGGATCAGGAACGTAAGGCACATTCAACAGCTGTGAGCCAGTTAGAGGGCCAGAGCCGAATCCTGGAGAGCAAAGCACGAAGCTATGCAGATCAGGGTAAGAATAGTTATTTTGCCAAATATCTGCGTATGATGCCAGTGTATCACCGTTCCATATTCCCTCTAGAACTGCAGTGAGCCTCCTCTGTCTCTTGGGGTGTGTGTGTAGATTTGTCGTAATATGGATAAAATAAATTCAAGTAGTAGGCGTCCAGTTAGTATCTTTTCTCTCATCTTTGCTTGTAGGAACATATGGTCGCTCTTATGCCCATCCCATAATAGGCATGCCCAATTCTGTGCCCTTGCACATCTCCACTTTTGACAGCTCTAGCTAAACTGGTCTATCTCGTTAGCCAAGATTGGATGTAAGACAAGAGACACAGTATAAGCTGCATAAACATTTTTTTCCAAGGAACATCAAAATCATTAGGAAATATAGATGAAACTGCTGAGCAATAAATATTTTTTGGGGGTGAGAATTGAATTCCATTGAACTGAACAGGGCTTAAGATGTGAATCAATGAAGAGAATTTGATTGCTCATCACAATTTAATTATTTCAAATGATGCTGGATTTTATCCTCTGTTTAGCAGATAAGCCTTGTTCAGTTTACATCTAATAAAATATTCTATAATGGAAACAGTTTAAAAATGCTATTGGTGTTTGGCAAAATGTAAACTCACTGCTTCACTGCCTCCCTTTGTGTGAAGGTTTTGTTTAACAGGATTATATATGATCCCTGACTATATTTATATATTTTCAGGCATTGCTCAAAACAGCCTATTTAAGAATTGCCATAAAAGAGAGAATATTCTATTAATGTTGCTTCCCCCCCCAAAAAAAAAATCAGTTCAAAAAGACGTAGACGGTTTTTTAAAAATAATGCTAATTTTAATTAAAGTTTGTTTTATTATTTTTAATTCCCAATTTTATTTTTCACATTTCTATCCCACTGCACTCAAACGATTCTTGTCAGCTTATGTAGAATATAAAACAGATTAAAAACATCCATGGTTTTGGAAGAATCATTCTTCCTTGAAACAAAAGTGCTGTATACTTAGCATAAAGCATTGCTAGCAAAAGTCTCTGTTGCGTTTACAAAATGAGAAGATTTGTATAAGTCCATCCTATAAACTTCTTCTTTGAAATAGACCTTTCTGCATTCAAATGGGATTGATTCCCAAATGGATGTAGGATTACAGCCTCAGCGTTCTTTGCATGAATCTACAAAATTTTCATCCAGGAGGCTTCTGGTTATTGGAACTGGATCATCAGAATTAATCTTCCAGGAAATGGATCCTTCCTGCTCCATTTCCCACTTGAACTGTACAGATAAAATACGAGGGAAATACTTTAGCGTTATCAGTCAAGTTAAGGTTGGTTTAAGGTCTTGCTACTGATAAAACACCATTTTCTTCCTTCACAGTGGCTGGTCTGGAGGAACAAAAATCTTCACTACTCAAGGAGATTTCGATTCTCAATCAGAGCCACACAAAGGTACTTCTGAACGGTGGAAGTCTTTCAGTGGCCCTTCCCACGTGCCTTTGTCTTTCCAAGCCACCATTGCACTTCCTCTTCTGTTTCTTTCAGATGGTACAAAACTACAAGGAACTGAGATCACAAAAAGTGGCATCAGCTGGTCCAGGACACACTAGCTCTTCATCCATAGAAGAGAAAAGGTTTGAAAAGAGGGAGGTAGGGAGGGTGTGTGTGTGTGTGTGTGTGCAGGATTTCAGGACAAAAGCAGAAAAAGTACTTGGAGGACCAGTGGGTTAAGGTGAGTGTCCCTTAAGTAACTGTGGCATCTTTTCCTGAGCTGTGGCTGAACACCCCCAGGAAAATATTTGTTTGAAGTCTGAAAGCACTGATAGTACCTCCTTGCTTATTTCAAAACAGCTTGTTGGACTTAATCCAAATGTATGTTTTCCTGAGATATGTGCAGCTCAGGAAAAGATACCACTTCCTTAAGAAGGTACCAAGAAGGACAGTGTCTATGCCCAGCCCACTCCTTCGAAGCCACCTTTGTTTGTCCATGATCCTGTCTCGATTCAACAGGTTTGACTTTATCATGTGTTACTGAGTAATGATTTCCTAACCCTCAACTTATAACCAGTCACTTAGCAACCATTCAGAGTTATGACAGACACCCTCCCCACGGTTCCAAAGTTCCTATCACTGCACACACACACCAGTCATGTGACCACATTTTGGTGTTCAGCAACTGGCCCGCATTTACGGCTGTTTGCAGCATCGCATGGTCACATGGCTTTTACAATGTTTTTGCCTAAACTCATCATTTACTTCCGGTTTTCATCAAAAATACCCCCCCCCCAGTGAACAATGGTCATAAAATCGGGTCAGTCATGTGACAACCCACATTATGACCATCATGACCTGTGACTGTAATTGGCAGTCTGTGTGTGTGTGTGTGTGTGTGTGTGTGTACAGTGACATTTGCCTCCTCCACAGCTATGACAACTAGTTGTTCCCAAAAGACTTGGTAGAGGTAGATTGCAAAGGAGTCCTTTAACTATCTTCAGAAATCATGCAGAGCGCTGCAGAGCAAGTCCTGTTTGGTGACAGGTTTGCTCTGTTTCATTCAAATCTGGCTAGTATTTGCCTTCTCTTGCCTTTTAAAATGATAACAAATAAGTTTCCCAGGCCATTAACAACAGCAATAAATTATTCATCTGTCTGCTTTTATTCAGTGTATTATATTGGTGCCCCAAGGGTGCTTTTTCCAAAAGGCAACTGGACTTGTTTTTTTTCCTTAGAAAACATTTCGCTTCTCATCCAAAAAGCGTCTTCAGTTCTAACTGACTGGTGGGGAATGGAAGGATTTATATTCTTTGCAGCCGTCTGGTCGTTAGCACTCTGCACTTTGCAGATGATTGCAAAGAATATAAATCCTTCCATTCCCCACCAGTCAGTTAGAACCAAAGAAGCTTCTTGGTTGGGAAGCAAAATGTTTTCTAAGGAAAAAAAAAACCAAGAAAGTCCATTTGCCTTTTGATCTGGATGCTTGAAAATCTCCATATACATATATTAGTGCCCCTTTAAAAAAAATTTGGGGCGAGGGGAGCAGAGCATAATGTGTGCCTATTTTAATTACATTGGTAATTAGATTAGTTTAACTAGCTGCTTTCCAGGGCTCAAAAAGAAAATACCTGCTGCAAACTCTGCATAAGCATCAGGAAGGGCATCCGGCCGGTAAACACTCAGCTCTACTCAGTGCACCCTGAATAAAGGGATTAAAGGGCCATAAAAAGAAAAATAAACTGCTTTAATGTAGGGTAGAAGGTGTAAGAAATGGCACTGCCTGATCTAGACTTTCCAAGACATTTAAACAGACCAAGGCAGACATGAAAAAAATCAAGATCCTTTTCTTTTTTCTCCCTCAATGAACAGGCCGAAGCCCCCACCAGTTCGGGTTCGTATGCCTCTACAGTTTCTATCAAGCCCCTCAGACTTGAAGCCTCCCAAGTCCTCAGTGGTAGGTGGATTCCAGTGAGGGGTTAAGCTCTGATGGCCGCAGTGATGGCTGAGAAGACCAGTGAGAAACAGGGGTATTAAGGAAAACCATAGAACAAATTCTGTTTTTCTCTCAATCTGTTGGATCTTTTTAGGAACATGGAGAAATGAATGAACTTTCTCATCCAGAGAAAATGCCCCAGAAAGTTGCAGAAAGAAATGCATTTCCCTTGGCACAGGAATTGGACGTTCAGCCAGAAAAGGAGGGTATGGAGGAGATTGTCTCTTTCTCTCTTTGGTAGGATCAGTTTTAATCCCAAATTGGAGTCTTATTCCAAGTAGATTAAGACAAGTCCCCGTTATCTCCTTGGCAATATTTTTCATGAGTGTTTGGCCACTGCCTTCTTCCTAGACAGTGTTTGGCCACTGCCTACTTCCTTGACAGAAAGTAACTAGCCCAAAGTCCCTCAGCAGCTTTTTGTGCCTAAGGCATTACTATAATAAAATTAAAAAAAATAACAGAGTTGGAAGGGACCTTGGAGGTCTTCTAGTCCAACCCCCTGCTTAGCAGAGACCCCTATATCATTTCATACAAATGGTGTCCAATCTCTTCTTAAATATCTCCAGTGTTGGAGCACACATAAGGTGTAGAGGCAAGTCATTCCACTGATTAATTGTTCCAACTGTCAGGAAATTTCTCCTTAGTTCTAGCTTGGTTCTCTCCTTAATTAGTTTCTTGCCCTGCCCTCAGGTGCTTTGGAGAATAGGTTGACCCTCTCTTTTTTGTGGCAGCCCCTGAGATATTAGAACACTGCTATCATGTCACCCCCTAAGTCCTTCTCTTCATTAAACTAGACATACCCAATTCCAGCAACCGTTCTTTATACGTTTTAGCCTCCAGTCCCCTAATCATCTTTGTTGCTCTTCTCTTCAATCTTTCTAGGTCTCAATATCTAAAATTCATGGTCTTCCAGTTACTTGTCTGGTGCCTTTAACTCCTACACCAACCTGGATTTGGGGATACTTGGGCCAATTTTTTTTCCTGCTGGTGATTACTTTTGCTCAGGAATCATTTGCTGGAGTCTCAGATGTTAACATGGTCTGAAACAAGCAGAGCTCTGGATCAGCCAGTTTGATCTAGTGCAGGGGTAGGCAACCTTGGCTCTTTTATGACTCGTGGACTTCAACTCTCAGAAGTTGGGAGTTGAAGTCCACGAGTCATAAAAGAGCCAAGGTTGCCTACCCCTGATCTAGTGGTTAAGGCACCAGGCTGGAAACCAGGAGACGATGAGTTCTAGTTCTGATTTAGACATGAAAGCCCACTGGGTAACTTTGGGCCAGTCACTCTCTCTCAGTCCAATTCATCTGGTAGTTGTGGGAAAAATAGGAGGAGGAAGAGAAATATTCACCGCCTTGAGTTATTTATAAAAATAAAGGCAGGATAATGAATACATACAAACATCACTTTCTTCTCTATCTGACACTCTTCTTCCTCGCTCCCTGCCTCCTCCCACTTCTTTCTCTTTCTTGTACTCTTTTTTTCTCCTTCTCTCAAATAGCAAACTGCAAGGAAAGGGCAGGTAAATTTTCTGAACTAATTGATTGCCAAAGGCTGCAGATAATTGTCACCAGCTAGATGTGCCTCTTTGAATTTAAGTTGCTGATCACCAGTCTGCAACACTGTGCTCTTATTTGCTTGACTGTATCTCTCAACAATCTCTGGGAGAGATCCTTCTCCACCTTTGCTCCCACAACAGCTAAAAACTGTAGTTAGGGCCAGTGGTGGGATTCAAATATGTGAACAACTGGTTTTCTGTGTGGATGCCGCTTCTGGAAGTCCTTTCTGGGCCTGGGCAACAAAAAATTAGCTACCAGTTTTGCTGAACTGGTGTGAATTGGCTGAATCTCACCACTGGTTAGGGCCTTCTTTATGCCTAAACTATGCTCCTATCAAAGTGGTTGGAAGTCACACATGCCAGCTTTGAATTAATTGCAGGAGGCGTGTATGGATGGTAGAGTTCTAAAGGGATAGAGTGGTTTGTGTAAGTTTAGGTCAGGAACCAGTGTGGGACCCCTGTGGAATCTCTCTCTGTGGGTAAAGGCTCATATAAATGAAAGTAAGAGGGTCGGGCTGAATGTTTTTTCTATTGTATTTTACAGGTAGTCTTCAATTTACAACCACAATTGAGCCAAAATATTTGTTGCTAAGCAAAACAATTGCTAAGTGAGTTTTGCCCCTTTCTTGCCACAGTTGTTAAGTGAATCACTGCAGTTGTTAATTGAGTAACACGATTGTTAAGTGAATCAGGCTTTCCCATTGATTTTGTTTGTCAGAAGGTCACAGAAGGTGATCACATGACCCCAAGACATTGCAACTGTCATAACTATGCAACCAGTTGCCAAGCATCTGAATTTTGATCATGAGACCGTGTGGATGTTGCAATGGTCATAAGTGTGAAAAACGATCACAAGTCACTTTTTTCAGTGCCATTATAATTTCGAACAGTCACTAAACGAAAGATTGTAAGTTGAGGACTACCTGTATACATCCTTACTTAAAAGTAAATCTAGGGAATTCATGCTGGCTGGGGAATTCTGGGAGTTGAAGTCCACACATCTTAAAGTTGTCAAAGTTGGGAACCCTGTCCTAAAAATAAGAGAGAGGGGGATAATAATCAGTAAGAATAATAACATTTTTGTGATTTTCCCTTTCTTTTCTCGTTAGCTTCTCCTAGTCAGCATGGCTTTGATTTGGACGAACTTTTAAGCTCTACTCCAGAACTCAAATCTGACCCCCAAATGCAAAACAGGTAAGGTAAATGTATTCATTAGTTATACTTCTAAGCAGAAAGTACAGGTTGGACAACTATAATAGTATACACCTGACTAGGAATACTTCTCCAATGGAATAAAAAAACACCTAGGTCTTTCTATCCTGCCATCTTAATCTCAGCATGATCTTAATCTCAAGTTATCTGCCCTTTCCAGTCTCTTTGCCCTTCTGAAGCTATCATTTGATGGACAGTTATCTCTTCTAGGCATCCCAATTTCTGCTTTGGAGGATCATGTACCATTGAGTTTGATGGCCAGATAGTTAGCTTTTTCACACATCTCTTCTGCAGCTGCTGTTTTGAAACCATTGCAGTCTTCAGAAGGAATGGGAAAGAGGTGTTACCTTGAGGAGCAGGAGGAAGTCAGATAAAAGAAATCTGACTCTGGGACAGAAATGTAATTTGAGAAAGTGTCTCAGACATGACCCTCCCTAGTTCTCATGCTCATTGAGACTTGCAAGAGTTCATTACTATAACCTTATAATAAAAGTAGTATTAGCTTGTGTGTCTTTGGTTTCCAACTTTGATCATCTTCGGAGGACTGATAACACTTTTGCAAGTCTCAATGTGCTTCCACCCATCACCTCTTTTTATTTTTGTGAAAACTAAGGAGGGTCTTGTCTGAGATGCTTTCTTGGGTTACAGTTTTGGTCCCAGATTCCTTTTTGTCTGACCTTTGTCTTGATTGTGGCTCTTCCTTCTGTTCCTCAAAGTTATCCCTTCCGCCTAATGCGTGGGATAGTCAAAGAGGTGACAAACTGATGGCAACTGAGTCCAAATTCTTCTCCAGCGACTTTCCCTCAGCGCAGATATCCTCCCTCACCCCTTCACTGATTTCTGTTTAGTGTAATGTCAGACATGGCGGTGTCTTATTGGCAGGATGGAGGAGGGAGGGGACTCTTGTCTGTCTATTTGTTTGTGTGTCTGTCTCTCAGCCCTTTGAATACCACCCTCGAGCGCAACACGGTCTCCCTTTTCGCTGAAGTTTCAGGCCTCAGCCCAGACCTCCTCACTGACATGGATGATGGTGCTGATTTGCAGGGTAAATATAATGTTTCTTTCTGCATTTTTCCCTGATTTAGAATTCAGGAATCCTAGCTTGACTATGACTTCCAAACCCCCCTGTAACTTCTCTCAGTGGGACATTCTGATTTGGATTCATAAAGAGCATATCTCAACTGATGTCCATGTCTACTGTCTTTGTAGGAGATGCCTTAGAAACCTTGCTAGCAGAAAACACTCAGCTTCAAGAAGCACGGTAAGACCGAGCACCTAGTTTGCCATCTCAAATTAATGAGAGCCAAAAACCTTGTTAAAAATAGATTCAAAACAGCTGTCCATCAAACTGCTCATGTTTTAGTTGGCTTTAGACTTAGCATGCGCTTCTGGATTTTGAAGCTGGCTTTAAAATCTTCATTCCATGGCCATCCCATCTCCAGAACTGCTCTGGACACAGCCCGCCGCCATCTTATTAACCGTGTGGAGGAGCTCAGCGAAGAGCGTGAATCTTTACGGATGGAGAATGAGAGATCATTGACTGACCTGCGTAGTTGCCAAATGCAGCTGAAAGAAGCTGAGTTGGAACTTCTTCGGTAAATTTTGGGCACTCTCCTATATTTATTCCACCTCTTTGTCTACCAGGCATCACTGGATTTGATAAAACAAAGTATAGCTAGATCTCCCATACTGACTGCCTCATGCAGCAACTATTCAAACTTACGATGGTGCTGAAAAAATAACTTTACAACCAAGGCACATATTTATGACCCTCACAGCGTTGCTCAGTTGTTTGATCACCATTACAGTCATTACTTGTTGTTTTGTGTGTCTGATCAATTCTGCTCTTCCCCATCCCCAACTGCAGACCAGAGAGATTGGAGAGGAAGGGATTATAAGAGAGTAAGCAGGCACACCATACATATCAAAGGAATACACTAGCACCAACTGTTTGCCTGGTGCCCTTGGGGCTTAGAACTACATGAGCAATAGGGCCAACATATTCTTTTACCACTGTTTAAATGGTGCATCAATTGTCAAAACAGATATTATTTACAATTTCACTCTAGGCAGGACATTCATTTTTATCTTAGTACTGATGACTAAAACAGGTTTTAAGATTGAGAAGAAAGTAAAATATCTGGCTATTGTATGTTATTTTAAAATAATTGCTCTAAGATATGCAATTAAGAATGATATGTTGAGATGGGAGAAAGTGTAATTCTCATTGTTGGGGAGAATTTCTGTGGTAAAATGTGATTTTTTTCAGTGTTTTTCAAACTTTTCATACTTGATACCTTTAAGGCAAGGCTTTTCAACCAGTGGTGTGGCTACCACCTGTGGTACATTGGCACCTGGCAGGTGGTATGCGACCATCCTAGAAAAGGGGTAGTGGGGTAGGGGAATGGGCTGAATCGGTGGCAGCACCTCACAAGCCTGAGTAAGAGATGGCTGGAGTTGCAGGGCTGTCAGGGCTCAGCGGAAGCGCCAGGATCAGCACTTCTTCAGGACTGTCAGGGCTCAGCGGAAGCGCCAGGATCAGCACTTCTTTGGGACTGTCAGAGCTCAGCAGAAACGCCAGGATCAGCGCCAGGCTCCAGCTGGAGCTCGGCACTGATCCTGGTGCTTCTGCTGAGCCCAGAAGAAGCGCCAATCAGCTGGAATGTTGCAGCATCTCCAGGGTCTTGTGATTTACATTCAGATGCTTGGCAACTGATTCATATTTATGACGGTCACAGTGTCCCAGGGTCATGTGAATTGACCAAAACCTGCTGCAACCACCCAGCAGATGGGGAGAATAAAAACCAAACACCCCCCCCATCCCCACTGCCAATCCTCCACAGAAATGCTCACAACAATGAAAACCTCGGACAGGAGGAAGAGTGCAGCCGGGCGGGCAGGCAGGTGTCTTGCTCGGCTGTGGCTTGGGGGGCACTTTTTCAGTGCCATTGTAACTTTGAACAGTCATTAAGCGAACTGTTGTAAGTCGAGGACTACCTGTATTTCATCACTTTTTTCTTTTTTTTTTTGGTCATCAAGTTTTTGACACCTTGCTAGGTGACTGGTGGTACTCGGATATTGCCATATCCTAAAAGTGGTACAATGGGTGAAAAGGTTGAAAAGTCCTGCTTTTAAGGTGTGGATTTCAACCCCCAGAATTCAGGAAGTTAAAAGTCCATGTATTTTAACTTTGTCAAGTTTGAAAAACAATTGAATAGACTATTGTGTGTCTTTCAAATGTTAGTTGGCTTTTATTTATTTATTTTTAACCCTGGGGTATGTCTTAATTAATGTCTTAATTAAAAATTAATGCATGTGTATCAGGGCACTGAATTGGTTATGTGATTTCTGATCCAGTTCTAGGATACTGAACATTCATGGATTTAAAAACAAAACAAAACATGTGATCGTATTTCTTTTTCAAACTTTGAATTTTAGGATCCGGCAAGAATTTAAGGAATCAAGGCGTTCCAGTGAGGAGGGAGAGGTAACCATCAAGGACCCTCATCCATACTTGACAGAGGTGCCGTGATCTCTGGGATGCAAATAGGAGAGGCGAGAGTGTAGACTAGCCTGATGCCCTCCAGCTGTGTTGTGTGTTTCTGTCCAAATGCACCTGGATGGTAAAGTCTGGAGGACATCTGGAGGATACTAAGCTGGGAAGACTGGGCTTCTGGCAATAGAGGCTTCAGAACTTTGAATGGAGAGGAATACATTTGAGCTATTGAGGCAAGGCTGCCCATTTCCTCCACAGGCTGAGGGGGCGCTGTCCCGGACTCAGAGGTTCACCCGTGCGGAGATGGCCCGTGTCGTGATGGAGCGTAATTTGTATAAAGAGAGGCTGATGGAACTACAGGAAGCGGTTCGACGTGCTGAGCTTCTGAGGTAAGCCATATTCAGGATTTCTGTTTTAAAATATTTTATTAATTTTCCAATTTTACATTTAGGTATTTAAAAAGCAACGTGGTGACTGGGTAATTAGTAGTTTGATAACAAAATATTTAGTACAAATCTCAAGTTGCAACATCAAACATTTCTTCTCTTTTTCCCTTAATATTTACTGTCTCGTATTCAAGCTAGTACAATTCTTATTATATCAGCTCAATAAAAACATCATTATTACATTTATCAATAAATTTTTAGCTTATACGTATCTTAATTACATTCAATCTTCATAGACAATACATATCCTGTTATTAATTTTTACCCAATTTTTAATTTCTCATCAATATTCCAATTTAACCTTTGATATTTATAATTTTCAAGCCTTAGGTAACCAAAATTTCCCTTATCTCAATTCATAATAAAATCTAATATCCAAAATACACATTTTATCTATTTGAATATAATCTTGTTCTATTTCCTAAAAGTTATCTATTTCCCATCATATTAAATCATCTACTTAATGATACAATATCCCCTTTAATAAATCAAAACCATTATGTGTATTACCTGGGTTAATCAATAAATCAAATATATTCATAAAAATTAATGTTCTTTTTCCTTTTAGATCTAATTTTTAAATATTAAACAGATAGAATCCTTATTTTCAACTAATTTCCAAGTAGTTTAAATCTAATGACCAGAATTCCCCTTATCTCAACTTCTCCCTTTAACCCTCTAATTAATAATGTGACATATTCAGAATTTCTGAGAGACCGAGAAGAATCTGTATCTACAGATAGTCCTTGACATACAACCACAATTGAGCCTGAAATTTCCATTGCTAAGCAAGACAGTTGTTAAGCGAGTTTCGCTCTATTTTATGGCCTTTCTTGCCAATGAATTGTTGTTAAGTGAATCACAGGAGTTATTAAGTTAGTAACACAATTGTTAAGTGAATCTGGCTTCCCCATTATCAACAGATCACAAAAGGTGATCATATGACTCCAGGACACTGCAACCATTATAAATATGAACCAGTTGCCAAGCGTCTGAATATTGATAACGTGATCATGGAATGCTGCAATGGTCACAAGTGTGAAAATGGTCATAATCACTTTTTTCAGTGCTGTTGTATCTTCAAACAGTCATGAAACAAATGGCTGAAAGTCAAGGACTCCCTGTATTCTGCTGTTGTTCTCTGTGGTCTTTGCCAGCCCTTCCAGCTGAACCTGGGAAATCTGCCATTTGATGTAGAACTTGTCTTGGCTAACTTAGTCATGGCTCTTCCTAAAAAGCTTGGGTTGCTTCCTAGCCAAACTCTTTGGGATGACCCAGAAATGAGTGGGAGTTTTTCATCCCTTGCTTCTTGTCCTTGCCTACTGTAACAGCATCCCAGGGACCAAAATGGGAGAAAAAGAAGAGAGATAGTCTCTTTTCCATGGCTGATTAAGCAGCTGTAGCTAGGGAAATGAGTTACTTTGGAAGTGGGAATTATAAGTTGGTGAGGCTTGTATTGCAGTCTTAGCAATCTCCCTGATCACATTAAGTCAGGGGTCTTCAAACTTGACTCTTTTATGCCTGGCTGAGGAATTCTGGGAGTTGAAGTCCACAAGTCATAAAAGGGCCAAGTTTGAAGACCCCTCCATTAAGTGTTCTTTCCAAAAGTCCTGTTACTAACTAATACAATGCTAGCTGGACTTTTTCCTTCTATGCTTCTTTTTCTTTTGAAATTGAAATACTTGCAATTTTATTTTTATAGCCCGCTTTCCCAATCTATGTTCACTTTGCTTCTTAAAGGATAGAAGTCATGTTAATGTTTGTTTTAAGAGTGCACTTTAGTTGTAAAATTTGCAGAATATTTATGAAATGTAAAAGTGTAATGTAGGTAGTCATTATATCCGCTAACCCAATTTACTTAAAAAGCTTTGTTTTTCACTTGGTTACATCTGCAACCAAGTAATTAATTATTTTTTGTCAGTTTGAAAAATTGGCTAAAAGTAAAGCTGAAGACAGATGACAGAATTATATATTTGGCCTTAGACACTTCAGTTTGTTCACAATTTTACAAAAAGAGCTGAGTCAAGCTATTTTCCAAAGCGCCTGAAGGCAGGACAAGAAGCAACGGATGGAAACTAACCAAAGAGAGAAGCAACCTAGAACTAAGGAGAAACTTCCTGACAGTTAGAACAATTAACCAGTGGAACAACCTGCCTCCAGAAGCGGTGAATGCTCCAACACTGGAAGTTTTTAAGAAGAGACTGGACAGCCATTTGTCCGAAATGGTATAAGGTTTCCTGCCTGAGCAGGGGGTTGGACTTGATGACCTCCAAGGTCCCTTTCAACTTTATTATTATTATTATTATTATTATTATTATTATTATTAAAAACAGGAAAAAACAGTAATAATCATTGCATAGAAATTTTGCCTCTAGACATTGAATCTTCAGTTTCATTTTCTGAACTAATACTACTATTAGCAATTTCTGGTTTTGCTAAACCTGAAATTTCATTTTTAACCTTTTAATACAGGGGTGTCAAATTGCTGGCCCGCAGGCCAGATGCGTCATGGCGAAACCACGCCCACCCCATTGCCGGCAATGGAAAAAAAGTTGCGATACGTCACAACACATCATGTGATGTTGCGAGTTTGACACCCCGTTTTAATAGATTTCTAATTTTGACAAGTAAAAATTTGTTCAGATTCATACAAGCTTCTCTGTTCTTTCACATATTTGAGCACAAAATTTCTATACACAGGTAGTCCTTGACTTACAACCATAATGGAACCTGCCCATTACAGTTATATGTCATGACAGTCATAAAGAGAATTATCTCTGGATTTTAACCTTTTTTGCAGTGGTCATTAAGAGAATGCAGCAGTTGTAAAGGAAACGCCACAATCATTAAGTGAACATGTTGTTCGCTATGGGACATTTTTGCTGAAACCAGAAGTAAACACCAGTTTTTGGCCAAAACATCATAAATCACGGTCAAATGGTTGTGAGATGCTGCAAACAGCCATAAATGCAGACTGGTTGCTGAGCACTCCAAATTCAATCACGAGACAATGGGAAGGAGGGCATAGGAATTTCAGAATTCGGTCATAATCATCTTTGGGGGGGGGGGGTGTCATAACTTCAAACGGTGCTAAGGGACTGGTCATAAGTTGAAAAACGCCTGTACTGACAGCTGGAATAGTGAATGGTCTTCCATTGCTCAGAGTTGGTTAAAAGATGGACAGTTATGATTTAAATAAATAAAAATAAATGACAAGTTATTCTAACGGAAGAGATTTTTCCAGATGTATTTTTTTTAAATCAACAAACAAAGCATGAGAGAAAGGAGGGCGACTGCTTTCACCAGTTTTTTCCAGGTGTTTTTCTGAATCTTCATATCTCTAATCCAGTGGTGGCGAACCTATGGCACGGGTGCCAGAGGCGGCACTCAGAGCCCTCTCTGTGGGCACACGCACCGTCGCCCCAGTCCTAGGCCTTCAGCTGGGTTTTATAAAACCTTTTCGCTTTAGGCCTCCACCGCCGTGTACAAAAAAAAAAGGTTCAATCAATCAATCAATTTCAACTTCTCGCGGGGAAAAAAAAAGATCTTGCAAAGTTGGAATTGATTGATTGAACTTTTTAATCCCACCCAGTCTGCTGTTACCACTGCAGCCACACCCACCCAATGGGCCACACCCACTCAATGGGCCACACCCACCCGACACCCAACGATGCATAAGTGGGTTTTGGGTTGCAGTTTGGGCACTCGGTCTCTAAAAGGTTCGCCATCACTGCTCTAGTCTGTGAATAGAATAGAATTAGGAATGAGCACAAATTGGTTACTTTCTACCTTTTTCTAGTGGTTCTTCAGAGAGAGAGAATAAATACCATCAATACACAGAGACAGACGCCGCTCAATAATTGTTTGTTTCTTCTTAGGGCTTCTCGGGAGGAACAAGCGATTCAAATGAAGAAATCATCATTTTGGAAAATGTAGGTCCTGCATATGATATACTGCAGTGGTGAAATCTAGCTGTTTCAGGATTCTGCCGTGGAGTGTCCAACACAGGATACACAATTTAGCAGCCTGAGCTTCATATTTTCTTTTTCTTTTGAAACAAAGACCATTTCTTGGTCTCCTGGGTGCAAGCATTAACTTGAAATTACGTGGGAGGAGAAGTAATATTTCAGAAGCAGTAGCTAACGATTTCTAGCTGCGCAGCCCCAACTGCTATGATTGCTAGGAGCAGAAAGGGAACTAAACTTTGCAGGCAAATGGTTTCTGTGCTTCTGTTTGTTTGTTCAGGTCACTGAGGTCTCCTGCCCTTAGTGCAGGAAACTATTACGACTTGCTTTCAGATTTTTGCTTCTTTTTTTTAGGATGGACCCCTTGCCCTTCTCTTTCCTCTAACCATATTGGTTTTCCTCCACTCCGGCAGTTTTGATCGCCTGTTCAGCCCATCAGATGCTCCTGAGAGCGCTGTGGCCTCTCCTCTACCACCAGGGAGGTCCCGGCCTAGCCGCAACAGCCAAAGAGATTCAGGACGGAGCACACTGAGATTCATCCCACGAGCAATCTCACCCTCTGAGTAAGTTTACAAGACTGTAAACCCAAATTCTTAATTCTTCCTATCAGGAATCCTTGGGAATATAATGCAAGTGTGTTTGACTGTGTTTTTACCACTAATCTGCTTTTCTCAGATTTGATTGTGCTGTTTGCTCAAAGTTTGGGTATTTTTCCTTTGGGATACAGGTAGTCCTCGACTTACAATAGTTCATTTAGTGACCATTCAAAATTACAACGGCACTGAAAAAAAGTGACTTATGACCATTTTTCACACAACCGCTGCAGTATCCTCATAATCGTGTGATCAAAATTCGGACGCTTGGCAACTGGCTCACATTTATGACGGTTGCAAATGATGACAGGATCAGGTGATCACTTTTTGTGATTTCCTGACAAGCAAAATCAGTGGGGAAATCAGATTCACTTAACAACCATGTTACTAACTTAATAACTGCAGTGATTCACTTAACAACTGTGGCACAAAATATTACAAAATGGGGCAAAATTCACTTAAATGTTTCACTAAGCAATAAAAATTCTGGGCTCAATTGTGGTCCTAAGTCGAGGACTACCTGTATTTTTCCTTCTCGCCTGTTAATCTAAAAATCTTTTTTTCACTTCAACTGGGAGTGATGCTTTGAGACTTTATGCAGGCAGGCACCTTCTCCCAGAATACTACAAACTTATCTGTTTATGATGGAATGGATTGTTTGTCCATTTAACACAGGGCTGATGGCTCCCCACAGCAGAAGCGGCGAGAACTGTATGGTGAGATCCGCTCACACATCTGGCAGGAACATGGTCGGGCACAGATCCATGGATGGAGCCAGCCACCTTCATTTCAGGTGAGGATTTTTGGCATGCGCACCAGAATCACATGCTTTGAGGTTACCCTACCTACATAAATCCCATGTTATGCACTAGTTCTCTTGAATTAATGCTTTTAATGTGAACTTATCTAGAAAAACACACGTTATAATTTTTATCTATCTATGTAATACTGTACTAAAATTCTCATTCCCATAACCTTTAACTGGGCGAAATGGTGCATCATAGGGCAGCAATTTTTGTACCAAGGTATCTCAGATGGGCTAACTTAGAGAATGTGTCCCAAATCTGGGACCCATGACTCTGTGGAATTGAAATTTGGCAAATTTTATAAAACATTTTATGACATAAACATTGTCCTAAAACAATTTATGACATAATACAAAATGTCATAAAACATTTCTTATGCTGATGTTTGACTGTGTTATAACGTTTAACATGGGCTATTTTTAAGGCAGACACATCTCTGAATATAGGCAGCACATTAGAAGTTCTGTCACTGTTAAACACATTGAGGAATCTAATAATACTTCTGAGAGGATGACCCAGTGGGTCGTGAGTTGTCCAGTTATTATTTAAATGTACATGCACCTCCCAGCAGCTCTGAGGGGTTACAGTTTACATGTTTTTTTAAAAAAAGATAAAAATGAAGAATTAAAAACAGCAAAAATTAAATGGGAACAAAACAAAAAAACCCAAAAACCCACCAAAACGAAAGAGAGCTTCAGTCACCCTCACCAAAGACTTGGGAGAAAAGTACTATCGTGTACAGATAGTCCTCAACTTACAACTACAACTGAGCCCAAAATTTCCATTGCTAAGCAAGACAGTTGTTAAGTGAATTTTGTCCCATTTTAAGACCTTTCTTACTACAGTTGTTAAATGACTCACCGCAATTGTTAGTAACACAGCTGTTAAGTGAATTTGACTTCCCATTGACTTTGCCTGTCAGAAGTTCACAAAAGGCGACACATGACCCTGGGACACAGCAACTGTCATAAATACATTCCAGATGCCAAGTGTCTGAATTTTGATCATGTGACCGTGGGGATGCTTTAATAGTCATAAATATGGAAAATGGTTATAAGTCACTTTTTTCATTGCCCTTGTAACTTTGAACACTCAATAAATGAATGGTTTTAAGTCGAGGACTTACCTGTACGTGTTTTATCACTCCTGAAATGGGCAATGGAGTGGTAAATGCAGCCCTGGCATTTGATTCTCTGAATTATAGGTAGCCGACTTACAACTATAATGGAGCTGTAATGATTTTACGGCCCTTTTTGTGGCGGTTGTTAAGCAAATCATACTGGGTGATAAATAAATCTGCACTGCAATCATTAAGTGAACTCACTATGGTGTGGTTTTGCTGAAAACCAGAAGTAAATGCCAGTTTTCATCAAAACTATCATAAAACACAGTCAAATGACCACTGGACACTACCAACAGACGTAGATGTGTAGATGACCGTGCCCAAAATGTGGTCATGTGACCATGGGACAGGGGCAAATATTGGAGCTTTAAATCTGAGTCCCCTTTTTCAAGACAGTCGTAACTTTAAACCATCACTAAGCAAACAGTCATATGTCAAAAGCTATCTGTAACTGAGGGGCTGGTGGAGAGCAATGGTGTCTTAGCTTTTTAACATTTTCTTACCCAGTAAAAATGGCTCTATCCCCAGTTGAGACCTATTCACATTTCAGACTTAAATTTCCGCTTGTTAAAATGGGGTTACTGTTTGCTGCAGGGCCCGGACCCACCTGCCGAAACTACTCAGGTACCTGTACTTGTGCAGCTGAGAATGCTGGAGCAGAAGGACCCCAGTACCAAGGTGATGAAGCAAGCTGTCTCCAACTCATGAACAGTTGAGGGCTGCTTTTTGTGTTGTTTTTTCCCAAATTAAAAAGTAATGCAAAATCAAGTAAATCTTAATAGAACTATTGTGAGTCATTGTGATAGCCTGCAAATAAAAGAGATTTGTGGTAAAGGCGGTAGGAATAAAACTAGGGGAACCAGAGCAGAGACCATTGCAGAGAAATTGGACGTAGTCAGTGTGTGATGTGTATGTGCTACAATTGGTTTGGATGAGGCAGTCACATCTGATTGGAGTGGAAAGAGGCAAAATGGAGCAGAGATTCCGAGCAGTCCCCTGTGCGCTCAGACAAAACTTTTAATTTCTCTGGTGCCTCTCTTGGATAATCTGCTTTGGGAATTCCTGTTGCAAACACCTTTTTTAAAAAATTGTTCTTTAGTATTTTTTTAAAATATAGAATAAAAACTAAGCCAATTTTTTCTGTTGTTTTTTTAGTTATGGCAAGGGCTAATACAGTCATTGACTTATGAGCGTAGTTGGGGGCCAGAATTTCTGTCCCTAAGCAAGGCAGTTGTTGAGATAGTTGTGCCCGATTTTACAACCTTTTTGCCCTGGTTGTTAAGGGAATTGTGTGGTTCTTAAGCGTATCTGGCATCCCCCATTGAATTTGCTTGTCAGAAGCCAGCTGGAAAGGTTACAAATGGTGATCACATAATCCGTTATGATAACCATCACAAATACATGCCAGTTACCAAGAACCCAAATTTTGATCTTGTGTCTGTGGGGATGCTGTGATGGTCATAAATGTAACCTCCAGTTGTAAGTCACCTTGGGCCGTTGTAAAGCAGTCAATCTGGCCAGCTCAGCAAGTTCCAATCTCTTCACTATCCATTTGTCCATTGTAGGTAAAGCCAGATCTTTTCACCTTGTCCATATACTGCATTTACACCCTCACTGCAGTTACAGCAAACGTTTCTGAGTGTACGTCAATTAAAAATTTGTGGATGGATGTCAAGATCATGCTTGTCTCTCTCTTATTGCAGCTCTGGTGTGCTGCAGCATCTGTTGGGCTGGAGCCTCGAGAAACACCACAGATTGTAAGCACTGCTCCCTCGCAAATTTGCACAACCCAGCCCCTTGCATGCTTGGGATTTCTTTAACCTGACCTTCTGTTTGGAGTTAATTGAACCTTAAATACAGCCTTTCCGGAATTGCCTGGGTGTGTTGGAAACACAATTTCCAGAATTCCCTAACTAATATGGTGGCAGAGAATTATGAGGATGATGAGACATGTTCTTCTAACATATCTGGAATGGGGCCAAGATGGAGAGTACAACTCTATTATTAGATGGTATACAAGTAGTCCTCAATTTAGGACCACAACTGAGCCCAACATTTCTGTTGCTAAGTGAGATGGTTGTTAAGTGAGTTTTGCCCCATTTTTCAACCTTTCTTGCCACAGTTGTTAAGTGAATCACTGAAGTTGTTAAGTTAGTACAGGTAGTTCTCGACTTATGACCACAATTGAGCCCAACATTTCTGTTGTTAAGTGAGACATTTGTTAAATGAGTTTTGCCCCATTTTACGACCTTTCTGGTCACAGTTGTTAAGTAAATTACCACAGTTGATGAGTTAGTAACATAGTTGTTAAGTGAATCTGGCTACCCCATTGGTTTTGCTTGTCAAAAGGTTGCAAAAGGTGATCATGTGACCTTGGGACACAGCAACGCTCATAAATATTAGTCAGTTGCCAAGCATCTAAATTTGATCCCATGATCATGGGGATGCTACAAAGGTCATAAGTGTGAAAAACAGTCATAAGTCACTTTCTAATGCCACTGTAAATTTGAACGGTCACTAAGTGAACTGTTGTAAGTTGAGAACTTATAACACAGTTATAAAGTGAATCTTTCCCCATTGATTTTGCTTGTCTGACGGTTGCAAAATCTGATCACATGACTCCTGAACACGACGACTGTTATAAATATGAGTCAATTGCCAAGTGATCATGTGAATTTGAATTTTCATCATGTGACCATGGGGATGCTGCAAGGGTCATAAGTGTGAAAAATGGTCATAAGTCACTCACAAAAGGTTGTAAGTCGAGGACTACCTGTAAATCCTTGCTATTGGACAATTCAGGCCTTGAAAAGTTACATTCTCAGGGGATATTTATTATATTTACCTGAGCAAGTGCATCTTGTGGCACAGAAGACCCAAATGATGGCTGTACAGTTAGAAAAAAAATCGTTGGTGCAAGATTTCCCGCCATCTTATCTAAGATTTCAGATTGCTTGAAATCTTAGATAAGATGGCTTGAAGATGGGAAGATGGGTTTATGAGTGCCTGCCTCTTCCTGACCCTTCTCTTCATTTCCTTTCAGGATACCCCCCATGGCAGCTCTTCCGGCAGGTCTCAGCTGTGGGTGGCTGCTGGGACCCACTCCGCCAGCGAAGTGACCCTCTTCAATGCTCCCAATACTAACCAGCTCCTGGAACACTTTGTGCTGCCTGGAATTCACATCCTCTCCATGGCTTGTGTTCCTGGTCAGTGAGATGAATTGGGAGGTGGGAATTTAGAAATTGTCTAAAGAAGTAGGGAGAACAGTACAGGATTCTGTGGTCCCAAATGCCCAGGAGTGAGACACTTCCAGTGAGGTCAGGAGACCCTGGGTAAATGGGGTCAAAACTTTCAGCCATTTTTTTTTTTGATAAAGAGTTTGGGGAGTAGGATTTAATGGAAAAATTGACCTGATTTGTGGGGTGTGAGAGGAATTTAAGGGACACAATGGGTATCAGCCTATTAAAAATCTTTTTTCTTGCCATTTCCAATTCAGATTTTGACTCTACCTAACTGGGTTTTTTTTAGGGGCTGCAGTTTAACCTGAGTTGTACACATATCTTGAGTGGGAATCAATCTTCCTAGGAAGGCTCTCTCCAGTATCATTTGTTCTCCGGATTTTCACGATTAATTCAATTAATTGCAAACTCATTCTCTGGATTTTCACGATTAATTGAATTATAAACTAACTAAACGGGATGGGTTTGGAAACACGCTAAGCCAAACCAAGATTAAAATAAACTATAAACTTTGTGTATTATACAAATGAGTCAGTTGGCCTTGAGGTGATCTGGCGGAATCTGTCATGCAAATTCAGCCTGAGTAAATTGGGCACAATCTACATGTAATTTTCAGTTCTTTTACGTAACACAATAATTGGACGGGCATATTTGTGTTGGTTGTTTGGCTTGGAGATATGAGTTTAGAGTAGTTTTGAGTTTCAAATCTCAATGTAACCTATTTGGGAAGAAAACTGTAGCTCAGCTATGGAGCCTGAAAACTCAGCTTTTAATCTATATGGACACCACTTGCCACATGTACTTGGTGTAAGACAGGCTCTATATCAAAAGTGTCTAAAGTTTTCTTCCAATGAAATTTTTCTAGATCAGGGGTCTTCAAACTTGGCCCTTTTATGACTTGTGGACTTCAACTCCCCAGAATTCCTCAGCCAGCGTGCCTGGCTGAAGAATTCTGGGAGTTGAAGTCCACAAGTCATAAAAGGGCCAAGCCTGAAGACCTCTGTTCTAGATTGAGTCTTTCATCCTTCAGTGCTTTTTGGATTGTTGATGTTTATTCTCAAACTTAGACATATCTACATGTCTCTGAAAAAAAGAAGCCTAGAGTTGAAGTCTACCCATCTTAAAGTTGCTGAGGTTGGGAAACACCGGTCTAGTTGCTTTGAAGGAATCTCAGACTAGCTGTGAGATTTCAAAGCGAGGTGTCCCAATGTGTTCTGGGTTCCTAATAGATAAGCGTTCCTTTCCCTAATGTTGCTTTCCCTCTTCTTCTATAGGTCTGACAGCACTTGTTGGTGAAAAGCCATTGGAAGGGCCAGAGATCCTTGAAGACCCTTTGGCACCCCGATCTGACAGTGATGAAGAAGCAAGGGAAACGGAGGAAGTTGGCAGAGAACCCACTGTCTGGATTGGGACCCAGGAAGGCTGGTAATGGAGATTGAAGTGGGGAAGAAATGAACGTGTCTGATATAATACGCCACTCCTGTCTATGTTGAGTTGCTTCAGGCAGCATCTGGCTCTTCCTGTCCTCCTCCTCTCTTCCTACCATTTTCTTCTTGTTGTTACTGTTACACTGTGATTTTACCTGCCGTCCTGAGGATGGAGGTGTCATTCTTGGGAGAATGTAAAGGTCACCTGCTTTCACAGATGGTCCTTGATTTATGGCCACAATTGGGACTGGAACCTCCATTACTAAGTGATGTGGTCATTAACTCAGTCCCACTATTACTGCAGTCTTTAAATAAATCACCATGGTCATTAAATAGATCATGTGTTCATTGTGTGAATCTGGCTTCCTTCATTGACTTTGCTTGTCACAAGCCCTTCGGGAAGCTCACCTAGTTGTAAATTTTCAGTGCCATTGTAACTTTGAATGATGGGTAAATGAATGGTCATAAGTCAAGGACTGTATGCACCCTGAATATACCCCATATTGGAAAGGAACTGTGATAGCAGAGACTTTAATGCTGTCTCCCAAATACGAATATTTAATGAATGGGGGAGGGTGCGATGGCTCATTGGTTAAAGATGCTGAGCTTGTCAACTAGAAAGCTGACAGCTCAAGTTCAAAATCTGGGTGCTGTGCAATGGGGTGAGTCCCAGCTCTTGCCCACCTAGCAGTTTGAAAGCTTGCAAATGTGAGTAGATAAATAGGTACCACTTCAGTGGGAAGGTAACAGCATTCCATGCGCCTCAGCATGTAGTCATGCTGGCCAAATGACCATGGAATCATCTTCAGACAATACTCGTTCCCTTGGCTAACAAATGGAGTTGAGCACCATCCCCTAGAGCAGGATGGTGGCTCAGCTGGCTCAGGAATTCTGGGAGTTGAAGTCCACGAGTCATAAAAGAGCCAAGGTTGCCTACCCCTGCCCTAGAGCATGGGTCCTCAACCTTGGCAACTTTAAGACTTGTGGATTTCAACTCCCAGCAAAGTTGGCTGAGAAATTCTGGGAGTTGAAGTCCACAAGTCTTAAAGTTGCCAAGGTTGAGGACCCCTGCCCTAGAGTCAAACACAAATGGACAGGGGAAGCCTTTACCTTTAACGAATGGGAAGATAGAAGTCCTGGCTGAAAGTGGTACTGTGCTAGTGGCAGAGTTGGGTGGAGGGGTCTGATAATTCTGTTGCATATTCCTCTTCTTTTTGCTATTTCTTTCTGTTTTACAGTATCTACATTCATTCTGCTGTGACTGACTGGCGATGTTGCCAAGGCAAAGCACGTTTGAAGGAGGCTGTCCATTGTATTGTGTGAGTATGCAAGTCTTGCCCACTGGCTGAAAGTTGAGTATCCTCGGTGGAAACTGCCTGCCTTCCCATTATAGTGCTAGTAAAACGTGCCTTTGTGTTATTTTTGCCCTATATGTTCCAGGCATACCCAAGGCCGCGTTGTAGCTGCCCTTGCTGATGGCTCTCTGGCTATATTCCATCGGAACGCAGGTAGGTCCTGCTGCTTGGATTCCTTCCCTCCCCATTTCCCCCATGGTTGAGACCTTCTCCTTAATGTCTTGATGAGAGAGAATGCATAGAGGCTAGGAAGCTGACAGAAGGATAAATAGTCATAAATGCATAGAGGCTAGGAAACTGACAGAAGGATAGATAGTCATAAATAATCAAGAGACATAATGTGAGTCAATTGACAGCCTGTCTTACTACCGTAACAGCAATGAAGCCGAAGTAGCAAGAAATCTGGGAAGAAGCATTTCCAAGAGATTCTGCCTTAACAAACACATTGTAAACGAGGATTGAAAATTCTTGCAGGTTCCAAGATTCTATAGTTACCCAAAGACTAGCATTAAAGATACCTTACTGAAGTCTGTGTAGATGTTGCTTCCTTGATTTTGCCCAACTTATGTGGGACTTGATCCTTATTTTATTCACTTATTTATTAAACTTATATGCTGCCCATCTCACAGTTCAAGGTGACTTTGGGCGGCTTACAGTATAATAACTCAGCCTTTTCTTAGATCGCAACTGGGATCTGCACTCCCCACGCCTGGTTGAATTGGGAAGGCCACGGCGCTCCATTCGTTGCATCATCCCTGTGTTTAATTGGCTCTGGTGCGGTTACGGAAATCGAATCTACCTGCTGGATCCTCGAACCGCTCGCATTCAGGTGAGCCTGCTGAGACATGAGGCCATTACTGGAAGTTGTGGAAACCAAGGAATTGTACAGTGGAAAACTCAGATGGGGCTGGAACAGATTGAGATCACAGGAATCCACTACATCCACTGCCATGGTTCTGACAGATGAAACTCTTCAAAAGAACTTCAAGGCATTATTTACCTTAAAGAATCTTTTATTCAAGTAGCATAATATTGGCACTCCATAATCAAAGCCAAAAACTGAATTCTCCTCCCCTGGGCACATAGCATCAAAGCACAATTCCCTCCTCCAATTAACAGTCATAAATCACATTCCCCAATTAGCTTGAAGCACGAGCTTCCTCTCCAGTTCTCCAGCTCGCCAATTCTTTATCAGCTCTGGGCTCAATAACGTTGATTCTCACGCTAGGTTTCGTGTTGTTACCTCTAGCTAGACTCTCATTCACACCCCCTCCCCAGCATCACCTAACTCTAAAAGCGAAAGGGAAAAAGATGGCTACATTTCCATCTGTTGTCAATGCGAAACATCCGATGTTAGCATTCTTAGTAGAATTGTGACCACATGAGCATGGGGATGCTGCAGCGGTCATAAATGTGAAAAACAATTATAAGTCACTTTTTTCAGTGGCTTTATAACTTTGAAGGATCACTAAACTGACTGATTGTAAGCCGAGGACTGCCTGTGTTCAAAAGAGTCCTTGCCCAACCAACAGGCCAAAGACTCCCTGCATCCACACCAGAGAAAATTGGCATGCCTATTGTTTGAATCTTGTTCCCTGCTACCAATTTCTTTTCCTTCCTTCCAGCGATACTTTGAAGTGACTTCACACCCTGAAAGCCATGTCCGGCACATGGCAGCAGCTGGTGGTGGCATCTGGGTTTCAGTCCGTCTGGAGACCACTCTGCGCCTTCTCCACGCAGAGACGGGGCAGCCACTGCAGGAAGTGGAATTGGAGCCCTTCATCAGCCGCACATTTGGTGGGTGGCTATAGGAAAAGGAAAGACAGAACCCGAGGGTGGAGTTAAAAGAGGGATCAGCCTAGAATCTCTATGTAGCCATAAGTGAACCAAGTCCAACTTCCCTTGAATCCCATTGACCCTTATCTAACTCCAAACAGGTGATAAATGTTAGTTGAGAAGATTCCTACACATAGGCATGATTAGCAAGAAATCAGTTTAATTGGACCTTCAGGTGGACTTGTTCTTTTGTATATGACTGTGTCAGGAACCAGAGGGCACCAAGAGGCAGGATCTTGGATATTGCAGAACATGCTGGCTGGGGAATTCTGGGAGTTGAAGTCCACACCTCTTAAAGTTGAGGTTGAGAAACTCTGTGAAAGGATGGGAAGGAGTAAATTAGGCAGGACATGATCTGCAAGCTGCTCTGGTTGCTAGAAGAATATGCAGCAATGGAGGGTTGTTGAAGGATTAGAATTTTTACAGAAAGCTCCTTCACTATTGTGGACTCCATTTCTTAGATCATCTGTTGTAGATGGAATTCCTGGACCAGGATTAGGTCCTTCGAATGTCACAGAAGGACGGCTCCCAGCATTTCTTCTTGCGGCCCACATTGACTGGGGCTGTTGGAAATTGTAATTTAGCAATACTTGGAGAGGCACAAGTTGCCTATATCAGAGGTCCCCAACCTTTTGGGCACCAGGGACCAGTTATGCGGAGAGAGATTTTTCTGCGGACTGGAGGGAGTGTGGTTTTGTGTGCTGCCTGCATCCCGCGGATGTGGCTTTGCTTGTTTGTGCAGCCCGGTTGCTGGCATGCCGTGGCCAGTACCGATCCACGGACCGGGGTTGGGGACCCCTGGCCTATATCCATTCTTGTCATAAATCATGTGTGGATCTAGACAGGAGATCTGGTTTGAGATGCCCAGAGTTATTGGGAATCAGATGGCACATAAATGTAGGAGAAGACGAAGATGGAGGGAGAGGAGGAGGAGGAGAAGGAGGAGAAAAGAAAGAGAGAGAGAAAAAGAAAGAAAGAAAAGAAAGAAAGAAAGAAAAGAAAGAAAGAAAGAAAGAAAGAAAGAAAGAAAGAAAGAAAGAAAGAAAGAAAGAAAGAAAGAAAGAAAGAAAGAGAAAAAGAAACCAACCTTGAATGGCCTTCTCCAACTTGGTGCTCAGGTTGGGGTGCACCACCTCCAGAATTCGCAGTCATCATGACAGGGATAATGTGCCTCAGCATCTCTGAGCGTTCCTTGGTGCTCTCTGCGCTTGGTTGTTTTCTTGCAGTTGTTTCATTAACCAAACTAGGTAACATCCTCAGTGCCAGTCTGTCAATTATATACAAGCTCACCCTGCTTTCTCTTCCTCATCCTCCAGGGCCCAGCAGTGTTATCTTAGCCTTGAACATCTCAGCTCTTGGTGCTTTTGGAAAGCGGCTGTGGGTTGGCACATCCGGTGGCACCATTATATCTGTGCCTTTTGTCTCCGGTAAGCAAATACGTCTCCTTCTGATTGTGGGGGAAATTCATAGCTGGGCTGTTTAGTTCTGAGATGGTTTTTCCTGTTTCCTTGCAGAATTTTCCGAAAGCTTGGAGACTTCTCCCTCTTCTGGTATCCCTTATTGTGCTATGGAGCAAGCCCAGATCAGCTACCATGGGCACCGTGATGCTGTCCGTTTCTTTGTCTCTGTCCCAGGTAGTCTGCAAGAAACATTGGAAAACCATTTCTTGATTTTTCAGCAAGAGCTACCCGTGCCCGTGACAGTTTAGCAAAATATGACAAGTTTCTTCCCTGAGATGTTTACAGATTTTCCTGGCGTGGGAGAAACAACAGAGGAGGAGGAAGGAAGCGGGGGTTGTGATAAACAAGGCACTCATGTCAGCATCTTGGCTGGGAAGTTGAGACCAAGCGTAGGCAGAAAATGCTAAATTCAGTGAGATTGTTTAAAATGTGTTTAAAATGGACTGAGTGAAACTTCAGTGGTTGACTGATACAATGTCTTGCCTTGCAGGGCAGTGGGTTGTGTCTTTAATCAGTGTGAGCAAAGGGTGTAGATTCTGTGCCAAGAAAACCTGGCTTTTGTGCCATTGAATAAGGGCTGCATCCTGATTTTCTACAATTCTGATTCACGGGTGGGGCAGCAAGAAATAGGATTCTAAACTGCAGCTTCTGTCAATTTGCTTTCTGTCTGTGTGTGTGTGTGTGTGTGTGTGTGTGTGTGTGTGTGTGTGTACCATGTACTTGATTTGTTAATTTTGGGCACATCTGTGGCCATATATTTAACAAATGGCCAGATTGGCAGAGGCAACCAGAAAGTCCATATTGGTTAATTTGTGGGCAGTTTACCTTTTTTTTCTTTCTTTTTTTTTTGCCTTCTGCTTGGAAGAAATCTAATTTGCCTCATGGTGAATAGCATGCATTTCCACACTGGCTGCAGAAAAGGTTACCCTCCCCTGGGACCCTATGAAAGTGCAAGTTAATACTATATTTTTCTGGCTAATAATGTTTAATGGCCTTATTTATCAAATAGTTTTGATATACTACCTTCATTAGCTTTTATTCCAGGGGTTATTCACAATACAAGTAAAAAAAAAAACACTACAAAAGCTAAAATCAATAAAACATCTAACCTAAATAACAATTAGAAGGAGCAGGGTGGAGCAATTCATTTTCAGTTTAGGTTTTAGTTCCCCTCCCTCATTGCCTAAAATGCCATTCATTAAAATAAATAGGGAAAAAAAATAAGTTAGCCAAAGCTCTAAAAGACAAGGTTAAGTGGGTGCCTTATTTATTTATTTGGTCATACACCGAAAGACAATTTATCCTATCATACAGCAAAAAGACAGTTTTAATAAAAGAAAGACGTAGGTACCATAGATCATATAAATAGAGAAAACATCGGATAAAAAAATAGTAATAAAGAAAATAATATTAAAAGTAATAAAGAAAATAGCAAAAATGACTAGAAAGGAGAATAGGAAAGGAAGGGCATATATGGATGAGTCTAATCCAGTGTTTCTCAATCTTAGAAAATTTAAGATGGACTTCAATTTCCAGAATTCTGGGAGTTGAAGTCCATACATCTTAAAGTTACCAAGGTTGAAAAACACAGGCCTAAACTAGCAGGAATATCTAGAGCTGCATCATAAGCCATTCCTTTTTTTCCACAAAAAAATTAATTAGATTTTAAAAAAGGTATATATACAGAAAAGGCATAGAAAAAACAATTAAAAAGAAAGAGGGAAGCATAGGGAAAAAGCAAATTTGGGCAATACAGACAAAAGGGGGCAGAAAGCTTTAGAAAAGAATAACTTCTGACTTTCTTTGGTAGATACAAATAATGAAATACAATAACCTTTTGAAATAGGGTAAATCATAGCACACTGTATTTCTCAAGTTGTAAACAGGTCTAGTCATCACATTCCAAGGTTAAAATTCTGTTTCTTTCCGTTTCAAGCAAAATATCCAAGAATGGTTTCCAAATAGAAATAAAAGTAGAATACAATCTTTTCTTTAATCAACCCATTCAATTTTGCCCTGTCCACCAACTTCATTAATTTCACCATCCATTCTTCCATTGTGGGTACTGCATAAGTAAGTCCTTTCAGGTCTGTGCTTAGAGCAGTGGTTCTCAACCTGTGGGTTGGGACCCCATTTGGGGTCGATCGACCATTTCACGGGGGTCGCCAAGCAAGGCTGTCCGCCATTTTTTTTGTCCGCCATTTTTTCCCCTTTTCCGGCGGGTGCCTTACCTCCCTTGGGCTGGGCCAGCTGGTGGTCGGCCTGCTCCGTCTCTGCCGCTTGCCAGCTACGCCTCGGCCGGCGCAGGGGGCGGAACCATGCATGCACGGCGCTCCCGGGCAGGGAAAGTCCTCGACTTACGACCGGTTGGTTAGTCCTCGACTTACGACCGGTTTAGTCCTCGACTTACGACCGGTTTAGTCCTCGACTTACGACCGGTTTAGTCCTCGACTTACGACCGGTTGGGGTCGCGGCATTAAAAAGGTTGAGAACCACTGGCTTAGAGTAACCTTGTGACTGTTATCATTTATTGTAACTTTGCTCTTATATATGACAACGACAGCAACAAGAAGATCAAAAGCCGTTCTTCTCAAATCTGTCTTCCTCTACTTCTACCTACAGGTGGTCCTTGACTTATGACCACTATCGAGCCCAAAATATCTGTTGCCAAGCTAGACAGCTGTTAAGTGAATTTTGCCCCATTTTATCACCTTTCTTGCTACAGCTGTTAAGTGAATCACTGCAGTTGTTAAGTTAGTGATGCGGTTGCTTCCCCCTTGATTTTTTTTGTCAGAAGGTCACAAAAGGTCATCGCATGACCCTGAGACACTGCAACTGTCATAAGTGTGAGTCAGCTGCCAAGCGTCTGAATTTTGATCACGTGACCCTGGGGATGCTGCAATGGCCACAAGTGTGAAAAAAGGTCATAAGGCATTTTTGTCAGTGCCATTGCACTTTGAATGGTCACTAAATGAGCTGTTGTAAGCCGAGGACTACCTGTACTATGGGGCAGAATTTTGTGCCTTTTGGGGTGACCGTGCTGAATTGACCTCTCACAGAAAAGATGTTGAGACTTTGGGAAAAGTACAAAGAAGAACAACTAAGATGATTTTTGTTGTTGTTGTTGTTGTTGTTAGTTGCAAAGTCATGTCCGGCCCATTGCGACCCCATGGACAATGTTCCTCCAGATCTTCCTGTTCTCTACCATCTTCTGGAGTCCATTTAAGCTCACTCCTATTGCTTCAGTGACTCCATCCAGCCACCTCATTCTCTGTCGTCCCCTTCTTCTATTGCCCTCAATCTTTCCCAGCATCAGGCTCTTCTCCAGTGAGTCCTTCCTTCTCATTAGGTGCACAAAGTACTTGAGTTGATTAAAGGAAACTAAAACATATGAAGAACGGTTGCAGAATTTGGGTTTGGCTAGTCTAGAGAAAAGAAGGACTAGAGGGGGACATGATAGCAATATTCCAGTATCTGAGGGGCTGCCACAAAGAGGAGGGGGGCAACTTGTTTTCCAAAGCAAGAGGGCAGGACAAGAAACAATGGATGAAAACTAATCTAAAACTAAGCAACCTGGAATTAAGAAATAAGGACAGTTAACCAGTGGAACAGCTTGCCTCCAGAAATCGTAGGTGCTCCATCGCTGGAGATTTTTAAGAAGAGGCTAGACCAGGGGTAGGCAACCTTGGCTCTTTTATGACTGGCTCAGGAATTCTGGGAGTTGAAGTCCACAAGTCATAAAAGAGCCAAGGTTGCCTACCCCTGGGCTAGACAGTCATTTGTCTGAGATAGTATAGGTCCTCCTGCTTGAGCAGGGGGCTGGACTAGAAGACCTCCAAGGTCCCTTCCAGCTTCTATTCTATTCTATTCTACTCTATTCTACTCTACTCTACTCTACTCTACTCTACTCTACTCTACTCTACTCTACTCTACTCTACTCTACTCCTACTCCACTCCACTCCCATTCCACTCCCATTCCATTCCATTCCATTCCATTCCAATCAAGGAGAGAAGCAACCTGGAATTAAAGAGAAACTTCTCTACAGTAAGAACAATTAACCAGTGGAACAGTTTGCCTTCAAAGTTATGGGTGCTTCACCACTGGAGGTTATTAAGAAGAGACTGGACAGTCACTTGTCTGAAATGGTACAGGGTCTCCTGCTTGAGCAGGGGGTTGAACTAGAAGACCTCCAAGGTCCCTTCCAGTTCTATTTTGATTCAAAGAAAAAAAACATGATTTCAAATTGAGGCCAGTCCAAATGTCTGTTGATGGGAGAGATTTATTCTAAGCACCAGGTGTGATTCTGAGGAAAGAAGAAAGTTGATTCCTCCCTCAGTCTCAGGATCCAAACCCTGTCAGGATGCTATTCCTATCCAGAACGGGGTTTGGAAATCATTGCTATCATTTCACTTTTGCTGCTTTTGGGATTCGAATAGTTCTGACTAGTTTTCATTCTTTTAGGATATGTGGATCCGTCTGCCGCAGAATACCTCAAGGAATCGCACAGTCAAGAGAAACTAAGCAAACCTTGCAGCTTAGTGCTAAGTGGAGGGGAAGGGTATATTAATCTCCGGATAGGTAAGCAAGGATGGAGAAACTACAGTGATCTAAAGGTGACTCAGTTTCACCTCTGCCCCCCCCCCCCGGCCAATGGCAAGAGATAGTGGGGTGCTATAATCCAGTAATTAACACATCTGGGGAGGAAACAGGATTGGTATTTCTTTATAAAGAAAAGTCCTTCTTGATACCAATAAAAGAGAAAATTTGTAGCTCAGGGTTGAACTGTGGGGTCCTTGATGCTCTCTGAGCTTAGCTGCTTTCTTCCAGACATTTCATTACCCAATTAAGTAACATCATCAGTGCTAGAAGGAAGTGGGGTTTGCTTTCTGTTTATTTACTAGTGTTTTTCCCGGTTGGTGTTGGCGGGAATGTTCTTGGTGGTTCCTTTGGGGTAGACCTGATCTCTTCTAATGTGGCCACTGTTTTCCTCCATGTCCAGGAGACAACTCCGATAAGCACTACGGTGACCTGCTACACCCGAACCCGCGCCTCCGTCGAGCGGAGCGAAGCCACCTCATTGTCTGGCAGGTGCAGGACTGAGGTCATGATCGTGGACACTTGGGACATGTGCTTCTGCCTGGAAGGGAATGACACAACTGCCAGATGTTGGCACTGCCTCCCTGTCACTGTTTCCTGCTCTCTTCCCTGACTCAGGTCATCTCTTTCTCTGGGGTTTGCAGAGTTGAGATAAAACTTTTTTTACCTTTTGAGACTGGTGGTGGGAAAAAGCCACTGGAGCTCTGGAATCTGTTTGGTGAACAGGCTTGGTGAGAAGAACAGTTGGTGCCTCCTCCAATCCTCCCTTTACTTTATATCATCCATTTCCATTCTTTCACACTGGAATTGGGCCATTTGTATATAGACTGAACTCCTTCAAATCCTGATTTTATTGCTCAAGCTGCTCTCGGTTTACAAAGAATAACAATGTACCTCTTGCTGGCCAGATGCTTAGAAGTTGATAGCCATGAATTGTTTAGTACCAATGGGGATTGAAGGCAGAGCTTCAAAATAATTGGAGCTGAAACTGCCAAAAACTGGGAAATAATCTGGAAGAGAAGCAGTGCCCACATAGGTTGAAGTGAAGGCCTTCTCCTTCCTTTTCGGATTCCTACTTGACTATGATTGAAACTGATGCTTTTCTACTTCTAGTAAATGTGGACATTTGGGAATAGAACTGATGAAGCCTGTTGAAGTAAACTGCTGCATTACTCAAAGAGACCTCAAGGGGGAGCTTCCTTGTCCTTGCTCTGGAATTGCAACAGGGATTACACCAGTCCTTCTCCACCCCCTTTGCCCCTTGGAGTTAACCAAATCCTGCCTGGAACTCTTTAAAGATGCATTTGCTTCAAGACCCCTCTCCCCACCCCACTCCACCCCACCCCGTTTAATTTCTCAGGGTTTCTCTATGATGTTTATTAACTCTCCAGGGACTGAGTTTTTAGAAGGAACTCAGCATCTCTCTTTGTGGGATGGTTTCATATTAAAGCTATTGTTATTCTTACTCCTGCTGTGGCTGGTACTACTGTACAACTACTACTGTTTTGATCCTCGTGCTTGTTCAGGAATTGCATTTGGAGGCTTTATCCAAGGCAGAAGATAAAATTTCTCACAAAAGACAGCTGGAGATTTCTTTGTCTAAAGTATTTTTGGTAGACAGAACCATACCTCGTTGTTAAAGTAATTTGATTTATCCTAATGTAATGCTGCAGTAACTTGCTATTTATCCATGGAAAAATAAGCTACTGTATAAGAAGTCCCAACTATTAATGTCCATCTGCATTCAAGCAGAACAATTTTATCCCATTAAAAAAATGAGTTATTTCCATTTGACTGCTGTGTAATACAGGTGGTCCAAGTTACAAGGGCACTGAAAAAAGTGACTGACAACTGGTCCTTACCCTTAACAACTTTTGTACCATCCCCATGCTAGGTGATCAAAATTATGGCACTTGGCCAGTATTTATGATGGTTGCTGTATCCCAGAATCACACGAATGCTACTCGTGACCTTCTCAGCTAGCTTTGGACAAGCAAAGGGAATGGGAGAAGCTGGGTTCGTTTAATGACCACATGATTCACTTAACAACTATAGTGCTTTGCTTAACAACTGTGGCAAAGAAGGTCATAAAATTGGGGGTGACTCATTTGCTTAGCAATTAAAATTCTGGTCCCAACTGTGGTTATAAGTCAAGAACTACCTATACATGAGCCTCTTTATGCAAACAGTTCCGAGAATTCCTGATGCAATTATTGTATTATTTCTATGTCTACTACTAATAGTCCTCGATTTAACAACCATTCATTTAGTAACCGTTCAAAGTTACAATAGCACTGAAAAAAGTGATCGTAATTATGACCATTTTTCACACTTAACAACTGTTGCAGCATCCCCACGGTCACCTGATCAAAATTAGGATGCTTGGCAACTGGCATGTATTTATGGCAGTTGCAGTATCCCTGGGTCATGTGATCACTTTTTGCAGCATCCTGATGCGCAAAGTTCATGAGGAAGCCAGATTTATGTAACAACCATGTTACTTAACAACTGTAGTGATTCACTTACGGACTTTGCCAAGAAAGGTTGCAAAATGGGGCAAAACTCACTTAACAACTGTCTCGCTTAGCAGCAAAAATTTGGGCTCAATTGTGGTCATAGGTCAAGGACTATCTGTAGTCTTATATTTCAGTTTACTTCCTTCTGACAAGTCGAATCAACTTCTCAAATTCCACATTGCCTAGAAATTCTGCGAACTGAAGTTCAAACATCTGGAGGACATCAGGAAAATGCTATATTTATCCCATAGGACAGGGGTAGGCAACCTTTGCTCTTTTATGACTTGTGGACTTCAACTCCCAGAATTCCTGAGCTAGCCATGCTGAGGGGATAGGGAGAGGTTTCCAAGCTGAGCCATGCTGGCTCAGGAATTCTGGGAGTTGAAGTCCACGAGTCATAAAAGAGCCAAGGTTGCCTACCCCTGCCATAGGAGGTGCCTAAATAACCAGGGGCCCTATTTTCTCCAACGAAAATAAAAATGAAACCTCCCAATCCAGAATATCTGCAAAGGTATCAAGACATGCTAATACCATGAAAGTGCTTTAGGTTGCTAAGAGCCAATGAAATCATCTGGTGGAGATGCACTTATTTTCCAAAGCGCCAGAAAGCAAGACAAGAAACTATGGATGGAAATCAATCAAGGAGAGAAGCAACCTGGAATTAAGGAGAAACTTCCTAAGAGTTAGGACAATTAACCGGTTTAACAGCTTGCCTTCAGAAGTTGTGGGTCTCCTACTTGAGCAGGGGGTTGTACTAGAAGACCTCCAAGGTCCCTTCCAGTTCTATTCTGTTTGATCCCTTGCTTCATAGTACATAATAAGATGCCACCACATCCCAACCCAAAAGTTATACTGGAGGGCAATGACACCTACTGTAGCTGCTGCCATCATGGCATTCCTATAAACACAGACCCATGCTCATCACAATTATTTATTGTAAACTTAGACATACAGCTTTAAGAAAAAGTAAGAGATCCATTGGACAGCATCTGGATCATACCCTGGGCGTGAAGCTCAATTTCCACCTTCTGATCCAACCTGAGATTTTCTCTATGGTACCAGCCCTGTTGGAAATGCAGCCTAATTGTCCTATCATAACTCGTAAAAGATGCTGGAGCCATCTGTGGCAAGTACGTAGGTCATTTGCCTGATGAATTAAAACACTGATGAATCAAAATACTGGTTAGCATGGCTGGGGAAGTCTGGGAGTTGAAGTCCACATAAATCTTGCTTAGGCTAAGATACACTGCTAAACCTTAGCTTCGCCTTTCAATTGGTATATCACAGTGTTTCTCAGTCTTAACAACTTTAATTCTGGGATCTGAAGTCAATCTTAAAGTTGAGAAACACTGATCTAGTGTTTAAATCTGTTTGAACATGAGGATTGAAGTCCACAAAGCTGGAAGCGAAGGAGCTTGAAGCCAGACGGCTGAGGCCAGCTTTAAACTAAAGCTAAGCAGGCAGAGGTCCTCAACCCCCAGGCCGCGGCCCAGTACCAGGCTGTGGCCCATTCAGAACCGGGTCGCAGCAGAGGTGGGCAAGCGCATGCATATGCGCAGCTCCACTTGTGTGAGTGGCAGGCAAGTGTGCAGCTCCATTTGTGCAAGTGGTGGCCGAGTGCACACATCCATGCCACTCACGCAGACCATCCCCTCCCCTTGCTGGTACACAAATCCGTAAAGGTTGGGGAACGCTGATCTAGGGCATCAATATTTGGGGGCACCCATGCCACCTGATCTTCCGGATCATTCTAAAGATGCCATCTTTGCATCAGCAGAAGATGGTACCATCAGTCAATATAGCCTAGGGACATCATATAACCTTGAATTAGTACTGGATAGGACCCTTATCCAAACCCCATCCAAGGCCAAGGAACAAGAAATGAAAAGTTTTGGAGGTTTTTTTTACCATGTAAGAGCAGAAGAAAAAACAGATTTCAACCATGGATCTGTTATAAATAGAGAGATTAAGTGCTTGATTTTGCAGTAGCTGATTGTTTTTCTTATTAGGGCATCTAATATCTGCAATAAAAGAAATTCATTTGGCTAAGTGTTGACTCTTCTGTTATTAGCTCCTGAGTGCTGAGTGCTGAGTTTCTAGGCCAAGAGGTCAGCATCCTTCTTCCACACAGAGGCCAATGGCCATGTCTGCATTGCAGGAAATCCTTGTTTAATGACCAGTTGTTTAATGAGCAAAGTGATGACCATCCTCCCAAAAGTTAATTACAACCCTTTCTAGACACTAGACGTTACTGCTATGCACCACCATCACCCAACAGCCACAGGATGCATTTCAGGCACTTGGCAACCATCTCACATTTTCAACTGGTTGCATTTTTTCCAATGTTGGTTGCTGATTTCCAGCCCAAAATGCCCATTTGAGAGAACGGATTCACTTAATGATCATGTGGTTTGCTTAACAATTACATCATTTGATTAACGACAGAGGTGACTCACTTTATGACCCTTGTAAAACTGTTGTAAAATTGAGTCAGATCACGTGGTGACCCCCTTAATGAACACAGTGACTTACAATGGACATTCCAGGCTCAGTTGTGGTAGTTAAAGTGAGGACTACTTGTACTCTCTCTTGAGCAAATACACTGGCAATTGGGACAAACCATAGAGAAGTATTTCTTAAGGGGAAAACAGGGGTGAGGCCAACAGGAAAAAGAGGGCATAGGGCGCCCCTTGTGGCTGGGGAAAGAAATGCTTCTGGAGGGAGGGAGGAAGAGACCTACTAACTGAAGGTATGTTATAAGCAATATAGACATTATATAATTCAAATCATTGCAATTTATTAAAATGGTGCAGTTCTACATCAGGTTATAAGACAGAACTGCAAAGTTTACTTTTTTAGAATCACTGCAAGCAGGAGATAAGGTATGATATATTTTTTTTGTGATGATTTTAGGTGGCAGGACAGACCCATCCTATGGGCTGTTGGTTGCCAGCCATTGTTTTAGAGAGATTTGAAACCTCTCCTTAAATATGCATTGCTAAAAATGAAGGAAAGGATACTATAGATTGCCTCTTTGTTTTTATTTGGCCACAGTAATTTATCTATCTACTTTTATGACCAAAATAGAGTATTTTGGGGGCATTTTGCACACACAAGATATATTTTGAGATAATAAAGCACATAAATCTCTTTTAGCTTTGTATTTTCCAATGGTAACATTCCCTGAATCATCTGGCAGTTCTAAGAGAAAATTTACCTTAAGGAATCACTTGCACTTTCCCAACAGGTAGACTTACCTTTGCTTGGAATATTGCCATCCT